ACTGCCTCTTATCTCCTCTGCATTTGATTTGCTGCAGGGAGCAACCATATTCACTAAGCTGGACTTGCGTAACGCGTACCACTTGGTACGTATTTGCGAGGGGGATGAGTGGAAGACCGCCTTCAACACCGCCTCGGGGCACTACGAGTATCTGGTGATGCATTTTGGACTTACCAACGCCCCTGCAGTATTCCAGGCGTTGGTAAATGACGTGCTCCGTGACATGTTGGACCGGCACGTATTTATTTACTTGGATGACATCTTGATATTTTCCAAGACTCTGAAAGAACACGTGCACCATGTCCAGGTGGTTCTCCAGAGATTGCTGGAGAACTCGCTGTTTGTTCAAACTGAGAAGTGTGAGTTTCACACCTCCTCTGTCTCTTTTCTGGCATACATCGTGGAACAGTGGGGCATTGAGATGGATCCCTCCAAGGTTGATGCCGTCATTTCCTGGCCGGTTCCAGAATCCCGGAAGCGGCTACAACAGTTGGTTCGCCAACTTCTACCGGAGGTTCATTCGTGGATACAGCACCTTGGCTGTTCCGCTCACAGCCCTGACCTCCTCTAAAGGCCGCTACACACCAACCCGATTTTGGGAGTCAGAGGCCGTCAGAGGCAGTCGGGCATTCGCGGCGCCCTACTCAGGTTGGTGTGTCCCGCACCGTCGTCTCTTTACGGCACATTTTCACACCTCCCGTATGTTGAATCGGCCGCGGGAGGCCAAAGAAAGTCGGGACAAAGAAATCACTCTGATTGGCTGTTCAGCTTAGCAAGTCAGTGCATGAGAAGCGAAGCAGAAGTGAGGGACCAAAACAAACGATTAAGAAGGCACACACAGACGGTTAATCTTTTTCATTTTCAACTCACCTGGACGCAAAAGTTTCTTTTTTAAGTTTACATGTTTTCGATCGACGAGAGAGAGTAAAAATGGAACCCAGACGCTATTTGTTGTTTGTTTATATCACGCAGCCTGTTCTTCTTCTCTCGGTGTATAGTCTGTCTTCCGGTTGAATCGATCCGCCTCAGCCGGTGATTGCCGACGCTGTCACTCAGTCTCAAGTTGAGGGGGCGGACGAGGTTTATACCTTCACCAGAGAAACGGGAATAAACCTCGTCGCCTCAATTTGAGACTGCAGTGACAGCTCGCCAATCACGCGAGGCGGATGATTCCCGAGGAGCCGTGAGACGCTTTAGGTATACCCACTGTTCTTAAGTATTCTGTGTGATTGCAGTGTATTATTATATATATGTTTCTATATACCTATGTTGTGTCGTTCTACAGCATCTCTCTAACCGTTTGGAAAGGAATACACCATACGTAAACCACCTCAGGGCCGGGCCTCGCCGCAAGACCACGAAGAGGTAATCTTGAATGTGGGGACAGTTCTTGCTCTGTATATGGCACCTACTGTGCAATTCCGGCGATGTGTTCGTTGACTCTTTTCTTGCGATGCTCCGCAGGGCTGAAAATGCAGGCGATGCAGCGGACGCAAGCCGATGCGTGGGCGGATGCTGTGTGTGCGTTTCTGAGATTCAACTTGCTCACCGTTATGACAGGAACTGGTCATCCGCGCCTATCACACATAAAGCAGTAAT